GTGGAGTGGCCTTACCCCTTCCGTAGACAGGATGTTTATGACAAAAGGTGGAAGGTAGTGTGTCCACTGTGGCTTGTTCCATGTTAAGTGCAGGGCTCTGCCTGTGTTGTACACCATTACTTTTGATTCAAGGGTTAAATCCCTGGAGGATACCCAGTTTGTTTGGGCAGCTGAAGGTAAAGTTCCAGGTCAATTAACTCACATAGCCATCCCTCATCCTTTCTTAGATCCCTCTCCCCCCATTTAATAATCAAAGACTGATGGCCTTTATTACTATGTGAGACAGAGGGTTCCAATGTACAAAATAACTCAGCCATCTCTGGTGAATCTCTCCACTAGCTTCCAGTGGTAAGCCACCAATTGTTTTTCAAAAATAGCATAGTTCTCAGAGGCTGAAAACATTGCCTTAGTGTAAAGCCCTAAATACTTCTGCTATATTTTTCATGCTAAGGTCTGCCTACCCACCCCTCTTCTCAAATCATTTTATGAGAGAGGCAGAAATCACAGAGACCTCAAGTCTTATCTTTCTTTCCAACTTATGGGCTCAAGGGGTAGAACTGGCCAGACTGTGTCTTGTAACTTGGTCAGGCCTGGTCACTGAAGCTACTCTGAACCTTATCCAAAGTATGTGGACTTTTGGATAATCCAAGATATGGAGTAAGAATTCCAAGGTGGAGCATATGCTGACTCTAAAACCCAAAGTTTATGGAAGACTCCTTGTAGAGAATACAATTAAATTAACAATTGCCCAAATATAATGGATCTTACAAAAATTAATGGAATGCTTCACTACCTGTCATAGGCTTAAGTACCATTACTTCCTAATCCCTGTCTTCTGGATTCCTCGTAGCAGGTCCCCAGACCTGATGGCACATACTCATTCCCTCAGGTTTAATATTAAGAACTGCAGTGCCTCTGCCACTTTTGTTTCATGGGATCTTTTCAACATCATATGGTGGGGCACCTGACCACTGAGAAAAGAAGAGAGAAAGAAGGATGCAGAATGATACCACCTAAGGCATTATAACCTAGTCTGTCCCTTTCAGAGGTTTCCTGTGCCTGCCTCTCATTTAAAGTAAAGGGAACATCCAACTATTCTTTTTGTTTAATGTTTACTTTTGAGAGAGAGAGAGAGAGCGGGGGGGGCGGACAGAGAAAATGAAGCAGGCTCCATGCTGACAGCAGAGAGCCCGCTGTGGGGTTTGAATTCACAAACTGTGAGATCATGACCTGAGCCAAAGTTGGACGCTCAACCAACTGAACTACCCCGGTGCCACTCCAACTATTTTTGATACTGGCAGAGACAAAGGGCCATCCTTGAGTAGATCTTTGTTAGGCAGACGTATTCTAGGCAGATTTAACCCTGATGAAAGGTATAGTGGCTTTTTTTTTTTTTTAATAAAGCCAATGCTTCCTCATAGTATGACAAATTCTAGGAATGGGCTGGGCCAGTGTATAAAAGGAACCCTTAACAAGTAGAGTAGGCAATACCTTTGTTGTAGTTTTTTATTTTATTTTTTTTTAAATGTTTTTATTTATTTCTGAGAGAGAGAGAGACAGCATGAGCAGGGAGGGTCAGAGAGAGGGAGATACAGAATCTGAAGCAGGCTCCAGGCTCTGAGCTGGCTGTCAGCACAGAGCCCCACATGGGGCTCGAACCCACAAACCATGAGATCATGACCTGAGCTGAAGTCGGACGCCTACCTGACTGAGCCACCCAGGTGCCCCTGTTGTAATTTTTTAAAACATGTGTTTGCTCCACCACCATAGCATTCCATTAATTTTTGCAAGATCCATTATATTTGGGCAACTATTAACTTAATTATCTGTGTCTAAAAGGAGTCTTCAGGTTGTATTTAACTTTTCCTAGAGAGAATTTCATACTTCTACAGGATGGAGAAGGCCATTGAGGGGGCAACTTATGTAAAGGGATACTATGATACTATGGTGATTAATTAATAGATATATTAGTTTCCCAGGGTTATCCATGTAAATTACCACAAATTGTGGATTAAAACAACAGAACTTTATTCTCTCACAGTTCTGGAGGCTGGAAGTCTGAAATCAAGGTGTTGCTGGGCCATGCTCCCTCCAAAACTTCTAGGGAAGAACCTTTCCATGCCTCTTTCAGCTTCTAGTCATTTCAGACCTTGCTTGGCTTCTGGCAGCATAACTCCAATCTTGTTTCCATCATTAGATTGTGTTCTCCCTGTGTGTCTTATGTCCCCTTTTTATAAGGATACCTGTCATATTAGATTAAGAGCTCATGCTTCTCTAGTATGATTTCATCTTAACTTGATTACATCTGCAAAGACCCTGTTTCCAAATAAGAACATATTCATGGGCCATCAAAGGTTAGGCCTTGAACATATTTTGGGGGGAGGGACACAATAAACCTACAACTAGTGAGTTTCCACTTTTCATGCCTATACCAAGGAGTTTGAGGGAGTGGATTGCAGCCACACTCCAGAAATCTTTAAGATCAGGTTATACTGCCTTAGAGGGTATCATTCTGCATTCTTTTCTTTTTTGCTCATAATTGGAAAGTATAATATGGCTTCTTCTCGGATACTCCATGATCAAGATTACACTACTATAATTTCTGTTAGTCTGGGCTTTGTTGACTCAGGGCATTCTTCTGGGTTGCCCCAAGTTGTTTTTATTCTTCTTTTTTTTTTTTTTTAAATAACTACATTATGGGCTTCTATTTTCCAACATCAGTCGGTTCCTATGACTTTTATACTTAAGTTTTTAGAGATACCAGTAGAATCATCAGTGGCTTTATTCCTAAATTTTAAGCTTTTCCTTGTTCTACACATCCAGAGAAGGATTTAGCAGGGTTTTGAAAAGTTCCTACCCATGTAGTCTTGCTTCTGAATCTTTGGACTCCCTTAGCATTGCTCAAGGCTGGTGACTCTTTCATAGGCTTCCTCTAGTAGATATTTTGATTGACTAATCCTAGCAGTGCTGATATTTCTTAAACAGATATACACTTTTCTTCCCATACCATCCATGTTTCTAGGGAAGCTCAAGAAGTAGGCTTAATTTGACAAAAGGTAATTATCAACTCTCTGGTCACTGATGGGTGAAGGAATTCAGGCTAAAGCCTATGAATGTATGATACTTTCCTAGCCATAGAATTTGGTTCTGGAATGGCCATGTAACTCAGTGGAAGGCAAGTGGAATCTGGGAGGCTTCTGGGAAATAGATGTCCTAAATTGTAAGATGGTCCCTTTTTTTTCCTCTTGACCTTGTACATAGATAGATATGAGGCCTGAAACTGCTGTAGCCACCTTGTGCCTAGTTTGGGAATGAAGCTGACACCTGTAAGGGGAACAGTTGAGAACTCCGTAGAGAACTAGATTTGAAGCTGTGACTGATCCACAATAATCATCACTCTATGGTAGTATTTTTCAATTATGTTTTGATTGGGTTTCTTATTTTTAAGAACTGAATTGGGTTTTCTCTTCCCTTAGTTTGAAAGTGTTTTATCTGGCAGATCCTGATGGGTCTCATTAAGCAAATAGAGGTCTAATAGAAGAGATGGTGAGTCCCATCAGGCTCCCAAGGCTCCATTTCCTCTGTGTTAAGCAGAGAACTCAGGCTCCATAACCTCCTATCTGTAGAAGTCAATCATTAACTTAGCATCCCCAGAAATCTGGCAATGGACTCCATCCTCTGCAGTACTTCTGTGTCAGACCATGGATCTTTTCCATGTAGCCATGCTGAGTGATAGTTACAGTTCCTTCCACACTTGTTATCAAGCAACCCTCATAGATTGGGAGAGGAGAGGAAGAGGGAGAGTCTTCATCAGGATCAATGGATTGCTTGGACTCCTACAATGTTTACCAAGTACTGCTAAAGACAAGACAGGGGATTTTCCAAACGGATGACATTACAATTCATGATCCACAGTAATTGGCCCCTCTGTGTGCACTCTCTCCTGCTCTACAGCAGCAATTTCAAATCTTCATCACTTGCTGCACAAATTCTCAGTAATTTCTAGAGAAAAAAAAATCAAGACAAGAGCTACAACCAACCTCCATGGAAACAAAGACATACCAGCACCTGCTCTAACCCTTTGTTTTTTAATGTTTAGTGATTTTTGAGAGAGAAAGAGAGAGAGAGTGCAAGAGCAGGGGAGGACTAGGGAGAGAGAGGGAGTGAGAGAATCCCAAGCAGGCTCTGTATTGTCAGTGCACAGTCCTACCCACAGGGGCTTGATCCCACCAACCGTGAGATCATTACCTGAGCAGAAATCAGGAGTCAGTGGCTTAAGGGACTGAGCCACACAGGAGCCAGTACGCTAACCCTTTTAAGGGTTTCAAAGGTAGAGGTGTCTTGCCTGCCCTCCAAGCTTAGGATGTAAGAGCTAGGTGCCCCTGGGCTTTACCCTTGAAAACTCAAAGAGAGGTAAGAGAACTAGAACAAAGAAAACAGGATAATGCTACCCAACAGTAAGAACTAGAGAAGCAGTAAAGGAGGCCTGTGGCTTAACTCTGGCGATGACTATTAGGAAAATACCAGAGGATGCCCCGCCTACCGGTGAGGTTTGAGCTGCCTTTGAGACCACAAAGTCAGGGCTCCGACCTAAACAATCTAGCGTCCGAGACTGTAGCTGAGCTTCTCAGGGTCTCCCTGCCTACCGCTCCCAGTCCAGGGGCACAAATACAATCCTCAGAGGCGTGGGAGGCTGAAGGCAGCGGCCGTGGAAGCCCCTCAGGTTATCCTTGTGCTGCTCTCACATAGTTTCTCTGCCCACTCGATGTGCATAACAAATTTTTCCATGGCTCACCCTTTGCGGTGGTGAAAGTACATTCAAGAGAGAGACACACTAGCGAATTGGGACGCAGGAGGGGAACTCAAACTTACAGGGAGAGAGTTCGGGGAAAGGGGGCGGATACTAAGCCAACCGGTTGCCCGCCGGGGCTCCCGGGGCGGTGCAGCAGAAGGGGGAGCGCTTACGAAGAACCCAGCCGCCGCCATCCAGTGCCCCCCCGCCCCGTCCTGCCCCACCAGCCCCCACCCCACGCCTCCCGGGACGGCCCGCTCCGCCTGCCTGAGTCACGGCTGGAGCTGGGGAGGAGCCGCGGAAGGGAGGCCCCAGCCCAGAGTGCAACCAGCGGCCGCAGGGAGAGCAGGCAGGGAGGTCGGGGATCATGGGGGAGAGTGCGCTGGAGCCGGGGCCTGTGCCCGCAGCGCCGGCTGGGGGCCCGGTGCATGCCGTGACGGTGGTGACGCTGCTGGAGAAGCTGGCCACCATGCTGGAGGCGCTGCGGGAGCGGCAGGGGGGCCTGGCTCAGAGGCAGGGCGGCCTGGCGGGCTCCGTGCGCCGCATCCAGAGCGGCCTGGGGGCGCTGAGCCGCAGCCACGACACCACGAGCAACACGCTGGCACAGCTGCTGGCCAAGGCGGAGCGCGTGGGCTCTCACGCGGACGCCGCCCAGGAGCGCGCCGTGCGCCGCGCCGCCCAGGTGCAGCGGCTGGAGGCCAACCACGGGTTGCTGGTGGCGCGCGGGAAGCTCCACGTCTTGCTCTTCAAGGTCAGTGACCTCAGGCGTCCTCCGCCTCCCGGCCACCATCTGGGCCAAACTCCCTACCCCCCCCCTTCCCCGGCCGCCTACCACACCCGCATTCCTGACCCCGTACGGTGGAACGGACTTCCAGAGCCGCACCCACTTCCCACCACGCTGCCCCATCCCTCAGCGCCTGAACCCAGCCTGGCCAACCACAGTCCGCCCAGCTCGAGCTCAGGCCACGTAACACCGAAGTTGCTCCAAGTCCCAGCCCATCCCTGAATGGGAATAACGGTGGCGGAAGTGCATCCTGCGACCGTTCCTTGCCTCCGATTCCTGCCCCTGCGATCACCATCCTGCTTAAGGGGGTCCCACCTAATTTCCAAACTTCTGCAGTTTGCCAGTAGCTCCCCACTCCACCCCTGCGCCTGGTCTTCCACGCCTGCTTTTTCTTTGCCCCTTGGGCCCGCCCCAAGGGTGGGGCGGGTTCCCCGGTGTAAATAAGGAGTGAGGCTCAGGCTGCTGCGGGTAGAGGACTGCCAGGGTCAGAGCTATGTTCATCACATGCAGGAGGAGGCTGAAATCCCAGCCAGCGCCTTCCAGAAGGCTCCCGAGCCCTTAGGCCCGGCAGATCAGCCCCAGCCTGGCCCAGAGCAGCCGGAGGCCGAAGTTGAGGAGAGCTCAGACGAGGAGCCGGTGGAGTCCAGGGCCCGGCGGCTTCGGCGCACCGGGTTGGAGAAGGTCCAGAGCCTGCGAAGAGCCCTCTCGGGCCGGAAGGGCCCTGCAGCACCAACGCCCACGCCAGTCAAGCCACCTCGTCTTGGGTCTGGCCGGAGCGCTGATGGCCAGCCAGAAGCCCGGCCTGCGCTGGAGCCCAAGCTGGAGCCAGAACCTCCGCAGGACGCCGAGGAAGATCCCGGGAAATCTGGGGCTGCTGAAGCCGCGGTGCTCCGAGTAGAGAGTGCGGCCTAATGGCTGGTGCTGTCTTTTGCTCCTGTGCCTATGCCTAGTCCCAAAATAAATCTCCCTCTCCAAAGCAGCATAAACGCCCAAATAAGGAGTGAATCCTGCACCCATAGCCCATCTCTGGCCTTCCCTTCCCGGTGCCTTCAAATTAGCCTGCGTCCTCTATAAGAGCAGCTGTGGCTCACACCTGCTTGCACTCCTGGTCAATAAAAGTCATGTCACCTAATCCAGACTCCATGTGAAGGGGTGGGAGGAAGAAGCTTGCAAGGAGTAAGACAAATGTTGGAACCTGGAATGTAGCTTCAGTTTCAACCAGATCATTGTATCATTTGGGCACGTAGAAATAACCTGCTGGCCGCTTGCTTCTTGAGCCCTTTACTCATGGAGAAGCATCCAGTATAGTCTCTTGCTGTAGGTGCTCAATAAATGTCAACAAGTAGGTTTCCTCTTAGTTTCTTTTTCCTCTTCCATCTCTTAAAAGTTGGGCTTTCCTCTGTTCTCAGCCTTCTTTTCATTCTGGGTAGTCGTTTGTGAACACTGACCCCACCAGCCACACACACCCTAAGACCACTGTCCTGAGCTGCAGTTGAAATATACCTCACTGTCAATGTATCCAAAGGAAGCAATCTACCTTTTAATTAAGTTCAATTTCAATTTTATAGATATTTATTAAGCACTTAGTATGTATCATTCAAAATGGCATCTCCTCTTGTGTTTTTGTTACCACTGAATGTCACCACCATTCTCACAGAAACCTGAGAGTCTTCCCTGGTTCTTCCCTCTCTCTCTCAATCCTCTCCCCCATGGAAACAGTGACCTCTGCAGTCTGACCACTTTTTGAATACCCATGGCCACTGCTCTGTTTTAGGCCTTATCTTTCACCTGACCATTTTTTTTTAATTGCCAGTCTGATCCCATCATCCTCCTTTCTCAGACCCTCAGTGGCTCCCCATCACCTTCAGAATAAAATCTGAGTTCTTGAATATTCCTTCAACATCTTTAATGTAACCTTTTGTGATCTGATTCCTGCCCATTATTTTAGCCTCATCTTTTGCTGCTTCCCCTCATTCTAGTATTGAATTACATTGAGCTGTGTACTCTCATTCTCATCTCTAACTCTCCTGCAGAACTGAGTAAGGCACACCTCTTTCAGGGTCAGGTGCTTCTCTTCTTTGCTCCCAGAGCACCACCTCTACACCTCAGTGCTAACTGTACAGAATGTGACTGTTTGCAATTACTCTCCTCATCCTGTCCCACACTGTGGCTCCTCTGCTGTATCTCTGTATTTCCCATACCAAATACCATGCCTGGCCTACAGTAGGCCCTCATAGAGCAAGAGCATCACAGAAGAATTAGGAAGTGCAAGGGGATTAGCTAGGGATGGGAGTTCGGTCATCAGCCCATTCATTCAGTTATTGTCATATGAAAACATTTTTTGAGTACCTAATGTGTTTGCAGGTCCTATGCTAGGTCTTGTGAACGCCAAGATGACAATCCTGAGGCCTTCAAGGACTTCAGAGTTTAGGAATGCAAGCATGAATGATGTAAGTGTAGTGACTGTTATGTTATTTTGAGAGGAAAGAGGGAAGGGACACAACCTACCCTGAAGGAGGATAAGTGGGGGATGTTTAAGGCCATGTTCTTGGAAAAGGTAAATAGTGAGATGGAAAACAGAAATGGTGTATGGCAGTAGAGCTCAGTGGCTATAGTTTGGCTTCTCAGTTCCTTCATCTATTTGTTATAAGTTTATTTTTGAGAGGAGGGGGGAGGGACAGAGACAAAGTATGTATCTTTGTATGGGGTCAGGATACAAAGGATACTGTACTGACAGCAGAGAGCCCAATGCAGGGCTCAAACTCATGGTGAGATCATGACCTGAGCTGAAGTCAGATGCTCAACCAACTGAGCCACCTAGGCTCCCTTCTTCATCTATTAAATGGGATAATGATAGCCTCCATTGGGCTGTTGTGAGGATTAAGTTACATAAGTATTTAGCACAAGTACCTGGAGGAGAGTTTGTTTCAGGTGTATAACTCATTCCTCTAGTTATTCAACAAAATATTTACTGAACTTGGAATTTCTGCCAGGCACTGTTTTAAGAGCTGGGGATACAGTGGCACATAAGAAAGACAGGATCCCTGTCTTTGTGGATAGTGTAGGGGGAGACCGGCAATAAACAAGTATACTATGAGACAGATAAAAACAAGCAAACATATGAACTAGAAGGTCTTTCTGGTTATGGGATGTGAAGGAAAGAAAGAAGTAAGGATAATAATTGGGGTAGAGGAGTACTTTAGATGAGGAAGTTGGGGATTTACATTTAAAAAATATATTTTTTTTAAATTTTTGAGAGAGAGAGAGGGAGAGTGAAGGAGAGGGAGAGAGAGAGAGGGAGACACAGAATCTGAAGCAGGCTCCAGGCTATGAGCTGTCAGCACAGAGCCCAACTTGGGGCTCCAACTCACAAACTGTGAGATCATGACCTGAGCGGAAGTCCGACATTTAACGACTGAGCCACCCAGGTGCCCTGAGGAAATTGGGGATTTAAAACGGGAGCAGAATTCAATAGTGACTTACAGTTTTTTTTCCTGATGAATTCAGTTAGAAGAGTCTAAGCTCCCACTGACCATTATTGGCGGGAAGTCTATTATCAGTCACTTTAGGGCTCCTCTCCTTCCTTAGATTGTACAATTATACCAGGAGGTTCACACCATCCCCTGGTCTCTCAGACCTTAGATGTCTCTGCTGCTATTGCTTCTCATGGCCACACGATGCCGCTATTGGGGTACCAGTGTCTTGGTGTCTCAACAACCCAGAGGTCTCCCGTCCGCTCTGTACCCCGAATCAGGGGTCCTTCCATGGAGACTGGCTCTGCTGTAGCTCCATTTCCTTTGAAGAAATTCAAGACTCGTTCAGCAGGCTTCCAAGCCTTAGTATGCAGACTGTATCAGCTTCCCAGCAGCCACTCCTTTTAAGGTTCTGCCATCACAGAGGGGCTGGTCTGAATAGGCTCAGTTCTCTGTCCCCAAGGAAAAACAAATTCTTGTTCTTTTTCCAAATCCTTGGAAATCTACCCAATTTCCCCCCTTTCAACTCATAGACTAAATTAAGAGCCCAACTACACATTTCTTACATAAAATGTCTTGATAGTTCATGGGGGAAGCACATCAAGGCTCAGAGAGCCTGAACTGTGACCCCTAGGAATCTAAAGCCTCAGCTAACTTGGATGTGTGTGTGTGTGTGTGTGTGTGTGTGTGTGTGTGTGTGGTGTTACTTTTTATTCCTTCCTGATGCTTCTACAGCAGAAATAAAAATCAAGTTAAAACAAACATATTTTCTTAATAGTTCTCTTTGTTACATTTTGTTCTCCATCATTACCACTATTGCCATTGTTATTAATATTATAAACTAAAGGGGGTGGAGACTGACACAGAGTACCAACTTATCATCCAGTATATGTGATATTTAGGTGGCTGCTTTGAGTAATGGGGAAGCACACTGGTGGATTACCAAAATTCAGAGTTTGGTTCTCAGTTCTTCAGATGAGAAGTACAAATTTATTATGTGTTCCAGCATGATTAGGCTGAGAGAGACTGATCCACAAAAACTGAACTCAGAAAACACTGGTTACCTTTTGGTTGTTGGATTCATTACTCTTCCTGAGAAATCCAACTGTTAAGTGAACTAGAATAATCTAGCTAGCTGGTCAGAACATTTTCCATCCCGCAACATGGGAAACCAAAGTAAGATCTTAAAGTGTAAGGAAATAGAATGGTAGAAATGGGATGAAGAAAATCAACAGGATTATCCAATCTGGTGTGACCATTTTCTGCTCTGATATTCCTCCTACATAGATAAGAATATGTACATTCCTGGCAGGAAATTTCTTCCCCTGTTAAGTACTGGAGATCCTTTTGGCTTTCCTTTATTGAGAGTTGAATCATATAACCTTAGCATGGAAGAGAATCCAAAAGCCATCCAACCTACCTGCATTTCCACCACAACATCCACTACCATTTTGCTACCTATCTTCAGCTGGCTTGTACTTAAAAAAGCTGAGTGACAAGGAACTCACTACCTTTCAGGCAACTGTATTTTTGGGCAACTTTGGTTGATAGGAAACTTCTTTATACTAAGATCAACATCTGTCATTATAATTTCTCCTATGTGGGGGGCGCCTGGGTGGCTTAGTCGGTTAAGCGTCCGACTTTCGCTTAGGTCATGATCTCGCGGTTCGTGGGTTCGGGCCCCGCGTCGGGCTCTGTGCTGACTGCCAGCTCAGAGCCTGGAGCCTGTTTCAGTCTGTGACTCCCTCTCTCTCTGACCCTCCCCTGCTCACACTGTCTCTCTCTCTCCTAGAAATAAATAAAACATTAAAAAAAATTAAAAAAAAA